GGGCCCATCTGTGTTTCAGGACGTTGATACGTTCATGCTGCTGACTTTTTTTGTTTTTGTTTGTTTTTTTGTTTTTTGTTTTTTTTTTTGCATTGGTAGAAACTTTTTGAAACTATAAACGTACTCCCTCTACGCCGATGACTCTGTCATCTACTGATGGTTTGATGCAGCAGACGTCTCAGTCCGTGTCGTTGTTAGACCAGAAACTGTTTCAACATAAGACTTCTTCTCCTGTTAGCTTAGCTCCGTACGTTGTTATGAAGCTGAGAAAAGTCAGAAAAAAATCCGTTTTAAAATTCTCAACAAAAAAAACACGATCATCTGTTGTTGATCATCTGTGTCATCGTTTTATTCTTGAAACTAAGTTGTTGGTTTTTTTAAGTAATTTATACTTTTTTTTCCCCAAACACCACCTACAGGGTGACGCGGAAAGAACATTCAGGTCAGTCCTAGCTAAAATAAATAATATTGTCTCATGTCATGCTTTACTGTTCTGTTTCCCTCTCAATGGGATCTTGGATCTTTAATAAATGTGACGACTTGAAACGAGTTTTTGTTTTTGGAAAAACTTTGAAACAAATATTTTAAGTCCAGATTTCCATGAATTTTTGGTTTCAATCAATTTATTAAAAAATACTAAATACAGTTTTTGACTGAAATACAATGTTTACTGTGTTCTGGTATTATTATTATTATTATTGTTGTTGTTGTTATTGTTGTTATTATTAATAATATTGTTATTAATATTATTATTAACATTATTATTAACATTAATATTATTATTATTATTATTATTATTAATGTTATTATTATTAATATTATGATGATGTACTTGGTGGTAGAGTAATTGCTGTGGTTTTTTTGGATTTTTTTCTGCTCTTTGTAGCAGTGAAACGGTGGCTTTTTTCAGGGTCAGGGTTAATTAGATATGTTAATGAGATTGGACCTAAAGTTGGGTATGGTCTGTGGATCAGGTCTTATTATGGTCTGTGGGCAGCTGGTTAATGATGAAGTTGAAGGTACTCTGATGATACTCTGATGATACTCTGATGATACTCTGATGATACTCTGATGATACTCTGATGATACTCTGATGATACTCTGATGATACTCTGATGATACTCTGATGATACTCTGATGATACTCTGATGATACTGTCAGTTCATGTCTTATGATTTCATTAGAGTTTATATCATTAGATGTAAGTTCATAATTTGAACTTATTAATTCAGATGAACTCTTTCATGGTTCACTGATGCTTTGACTGGACGCCTTATATGGTGTGGCTGTCACTTACCCAGAATTCCCACTTGTTTGTCATCACCTTTATGGTGTTTTATCTTCTTTTTTCCTCTAAACTAGAATCAGAAATGAGTCGGTGAAGATGGAACTTTCTGACTTGATGTTTGACAGAGTGAGTGAGCTGTGGGGGGGGGGGACCGGGGGGGGGGTCACCCCCGCGCACCACGGCCAGGC